GCGCACGGTGATACTTTAAACAAAAAAAAAATAGGCATGTCTTCAAAGAACATTGCCGCTATTGAAAACGCATAATAAGGCCTAACCTTCACCACCGTCCACTTTTAGAATGCGGTATATACAGCAAACTGGCAGGAGCAGCTGGCGCAGCAGTTCGTGTGATCAGACTCAGATTTATTCATACCGGAGGAATCCGATGAGCTATAAAGCTCTTTTTTTTTACAGATCGGGGCGGGTGAGAACATTACAGCAACACACGAACACAAACCACGTGATATGAGCCGGGTCGCCCGAGTTGCGTTCCTTAAAAGCAGTGATGAGCGATAGCGGAACCAGTTCTGCCCCCCCCCTTCCCCCGAATCCCTTAATCGACCCGCATTGACCAGCGTGACAAAACATGCAACTCCTCCCACGGCTCACAAAGAAACAATGCGAGAAGCATGGAGCCTTCATCCATTCACATTTTGAGCGCTCGAGAGTATATTCTTAGAGCACTAAATGTTCCAAGCTTGGTTTCTGATTGGCATAGTTCAGGACAAGAAGGATAGCCGAGGTGGCCTGTTAACATTTCAGCTGCAAGGAGATATTTGCTGCCAGCTGGCGTTTTCAACGTTGATGAAATTGAGACGACCAACATCAATATCAATCCGCAGGTCTTTCCGGAGCACACGAGGTTACCAAATTCCTCAACTGAACCTGGCTTTCATCCAGTGTGTTCACAATGAAAGCAATGTTTGCAGTGTTCTCTCTTATCATACTCCTCATCATCATCAGCCACTGCTAGATGACGGTTTTCCTACACTATCCATTGATCCTGCAATGAGACAACTCGACGCGGCTACTGCATGAGCTGATCTCAAAATTCCATCTCTGCGTCAGTCATTGGTGCTTGGTCGTGACCTCACGTTCAGCTGCACGTCTGTCACCAATATTGTCCATTGGCAATCTTTTATTTTTAAATATAGTACAGGGACAAGTGACAGTAATTCTCGTAATCAAACACAGAGTTTTTAAATTCAAGAGTACTTCAAATATAATTGCTCAGCTAGCATTGAGGCCCTAAATCCGTAATGAGTTAAAGGTAATTAAAATGTGCTCCAATAACAAGCCGTTGGGGCATAGAAGTATACGAAATGTATGATACAAAAATATTAAATTCTCAATTTGGGTTAAACACACTGCAGTGTTGTAACGGGTGACTTTTAATTAAGAGGTAATTAAAAGGAGCAGATGAGAGGAAGATTGGTAAATTTGGTACTCAAGTGAGGAGTAAAAGAGACTGCCTGTTGGAATGTTAAGGTAATGAGCAATTATTTTTTAAAGAGGCGAATTAAAAAAAGGACATCGGTGAGCCCAAATGGAGAATTTGTAAATGAAATCGACTTGTTTTGGATAAAAATCATAATCCGAATCTTTATGTATCCTGGAGAATCCGATGATTTTTGAAGCTCTATTTCACAGATGTCCAGTAGGAGCGGGTCAGAACGTTACACTAAAACAATACAAAAAAAACGATAGGAGTGCAAAGTATTGGAAAGGTAAGCAAATCACCGGAAAAAAATATATGTAGATAAATGTGCAACTAAACAATTTTTCGATTTGAAGCTTTCGTGACTGCAGGGATTCATCTTATTGGTTCTTTCGGTAAAGTCACGTAGAAAGGAAATAATAAAATAATAAAAATACAACATAATAAAATAAAATTATCACGACGTTTCGGCCACAACACAAGCAGCTGTCCTTGTTGTGGCCGAAACGTCGTGATAATTTTATTTTATGTTATATTTTTATTATTGTATTATTTCCCTTCTATGTGACTTTACCGAAAGAACCAAGAATATAAACAATTTTTATTTTACCAGGTGAAGGCCACTTCGCTATTACTTATTTTTCCTCGTCACAAATGATATTGCAACGAAGTGGCTTATAATGTGGAAATGTATCGCAGCCAAATAATGTAAACCTCGGGTTGTGAGCGACGTCTCTATCTTAAACCGCATTCAACAAACCGGATGTGATCACGTGACTATATGATGCAAGTTATTATTTCAGCACTGCGATGCAGAGGAAAAATGCAAAGGTTAAATGTTTAAAAAAAGATCAAATCTAGTTGCAGAAGGTTGGGAACATTTTGCCCGAATCTTGGCAACAGATTCAAGAACCAAGACAAGTGATTAAATGGATGTCACGAATATAAATAATGGATTAACAAAGTATTTACGTGGACAGTGCGCTGAATATGGGGGTGGGTGGTATGTAAAGCAGAAGCAAAGTCACCAAAAACAACCGCTTTTTGCAAACCGATTGCTTTAATTAATTGAATTTGAAGATGTTTATCATTCTGCTAATAATTGCTTGAGAATCACGAGGAAAGCAAGAATGGGCACCATGCAAAACAAATCATCAGAAAATTGTACCTTTCTAAAATGCAGCTTTGTGTGTGTGTGTGTTTTTAAAGAGGTTGAAAAGCGAGCAAAAACGTTTTAGGAGATGAGTTCGTTCTGATTGATTGCGAGTCACTTATTGATAAATGGATGTATTGCAATATTTTTGGCAGATCGCAATCATTACACTTTTTTGGGCATTATCAAACTTTGTTTTCATCATTCCAATCTTATCTCCAGAACCAAACGCACAAGGAGTGCAAGGAGGACAACCCTCCCCCACCTCCGCTGTTGGTATTTGTGTTTGCCTTCCCAGTGCACACAGCCGCGCGGTTGGAAAAGGTGGCACTGAAGACTCTGGCCGAAGGTGTCATTTTACAAAGCTAAACAAGTTGCATGTGATCCTCTTAAGAGTGCGTTGCCTTCATGCTGTGGGAGACCCCGTGCGACGTCTTTGTTTCACAATGGACCCATGCTGATGGAAGACACAACGACTTTGTTGTTTTGATTTAAAGCTTTCGTGACTGCAGTAATTCATATTCTTAGTTTTTTCGGTAAAGTCACGTTGAAGAGAACAAAATAACAAAATATATATAAAACAATAAAAAAATTCTCACGACGTTTCGACCATAACTCAAACGGTCATCATCTGATGACCGTTTGAGTTATGGTCAAACGGTCATCATCTGATGACCGTTTGAGTTATGGTCGAAACGTCGTGAGAATTTTTTATTGTTTTATATATATTTTGTTATTTTGTTGTTTCTCTTCAACGTGACTTTACCGAAAAAACTAAGAATATTACTTTGTTGTTGTTGCTGCTGCTGCTGTTATCCTGTAAATTCCCACTGCTGAGCAAAGGTCTCTCCATAATATAGGCTTTTTTGGGGGGCTTAGATCGCGTCAATATATAAATGTGTCGTTAAACCCGCCACCACCCGACACAGCCAATGAGTAAGGTTTGTTATGTAAACGGAACATTCCAATTCGTTACTAGTAGTCCACCGGTGTGTTGGAGAGCACATCCATGCTGTTTACACGACAAGCCTTACTAATTGGCTGTGTCGGGTGGTGGCGGGTTTAATGACACATTTATATTTGCCCGATCTAACCCCCTAAAAAAACCTTGTATTATGGATATTGGTCGCGAAAGCCTACGTGTTAAAGGGTCTCCCCCACTTTCTTCAATTTCCTGTTGTTCTTATCCAATAGTGGCCTCTGAAATCTTAGATTTTCTCTGCTACTGCCTGCGCTCTTCCACCGTCTACCACCGCTTCTCTTGCATTCCCTCGTATACACTTGATTTTGAATACAGTATGTCGTGCTAACGATGCTGACTTGCTCATTTCCAAATGATGTCTTTAGCAACAGAATCGGTGACTCGTTATTTTCCTTATTTCGCCTTTCCCTAACCTACCTGACTTAACTATTAAAATACTTCCACCTCCCGTCCATAAATTACAAATATTGTACAACTGAATACAGATTTATGCGCAGACACTGGTAATAGTAAAGTCCAGTTAATTGTGACTTTTACAATGTTTTACTTACCAGCAATTGTGCAAACAATGGTGTTCTCAGTTTAACGCATTCTTTTTGAGAAGAAAAATAAAACAGACTGCCAACAAGATAAGACGGTCGTTTTCGTGAAGAGTAGGAGAAAGCCTGCAACAACGGCTGAAATGATGGCTTATATAAAAAATATATATCTATATTTGTAAATACTCAGCACGTCTTTTGTCACGATATATCACATTGCAGCGCGGAGAAGATAACTTCACATGAAGGCGACATTTATCGTACATTTTTGTACACGTGTCTAGGTGTTGATTGAAATGTTAATACAAGTCACAGGCACCTGGAAAGTAATTTTATTGTCCTAAAAACATACTCCGGGCTCAAGCGTTTATCTTGAAAGGTTGAGTTCTTCAATACTTCTCATTGAAACTAAACTGGAACGGTCAGCCTTTCATTGAAATTTAGCAAATGCGTATTTAGTTACATTTCCGTGAAAGAAGGCATAAAAAAGTAAAAAAAAGTTTGTGTGTATTACGTTACAATAACCAGTACTGTACAATGCTGTCCAGAGCCAGACTCTCACCTACGCACCTCCAATTAGCGCGGTTGGCGCCATACTATGCGAAAGAAGTTCAACATACATACATACACAACACACTACAATGTTGAGTTAAAGCTTTCGTGACTGCAGGGATTCATATTCTTGGTTCTTTCGGTAAGTCACGTAGAAGGGAATTTTATTGTTTTATATTTGTATTATTTATTGTTTCCCTTCTACGTGACTTTACCGAAAGAACCAAGAATAACACACTACAACGTATACATATGAAATAAATAAAAACACGGCTACTAAAACCCCGGTGTGGACCAATACAAAGCTAGCCTTGGGTTCCCATAAGGCCCAAACTGGATGCACTTGACGATCAGATGTTATGTGGAAGGCAGTTTCAATCGCGTATATCTATTATATATACGTATTGTGTATTTTGCCCATATTGGAGGCAACGCTCATATGGCATTTAGTTTGTTAATAGTCTAAAAAATATTGCTTAACCTTTTTATAACATTGGAAATTAAAGAATAGACTGACGTGAACCATTAAAATGATATATATTTTTTATTAATCGTACAGGTATATGCCGTAGAAAATGCCACATAACAACGTACATTTGTAAAGAGCATGCTTTGCTCAATGCACATAGTATTAAGAACACAAGAAATATGACCAACACGGTGTATTTTTAGGGTTAGGGTTGGGGTTATGAATGAACAGAAATCCCATGCTAGTCTGACCCTTGTTAGAATGTATATTTTATTATGCCATAGTCTGCATGAATTTCCATTCCCCTCCACCCCCCATGATTAATTGACAACGCTTGTACTGCACTTCGTAACCGGGCCACAACATGAATTTAAATACGATTGCTTTACTCTTGGTTATCCGTGGGTGGATAGTAAAAGTTTCCCGGCAAAATAAAAAATAAGGCAAATATTTTGTTACGTGCAGACTTGTTTATAATCTGCTCTTCACTTGTCAAGGGTTTATATCCTGGTGCCCACGTGACCACAGACATATCTATAAGTAAACCGATCCTTAAAATACACTGTACATAAACAGATGACACATTCCGACATCGTCATTCCTATTTTGTGTACGTTAATACAAATGTATATTTCAAATCCTAATTAAAATGTGTCTTGTATAATCAGCATTAGTATTTTAGCCGGGCCACCCATTCTCTCTCGTTACTTTTGTCTTAATTGCTCTTAATTATAATACAAGCTTGTATAAGTTTAAAATTGTATTGCCTAGGGCACACTTCTTATTTATATTTTGAAAGAAAAAATAGCGTTTTACATATTCTAAGCAATTTGGTAATCATTGATAGAAAGCATTCTGAATGTCTTTGTTGACGTGAAGTGCATTATATAAAATGAGAAGTTATACGTGCAGACTGACTGATTGATTACGCCCGATAATGGACAGTTGATTGCACTTTCATTTTCAAAGTCAAGATGTTGAGACCAGCAACGAGTGTGCCATCCAGCCCCTGGAGCCCTCTTCCATCAGCACACGTGGGTCTCAGATCTGAAGTGCACCACCTGGTGATATGTAAGGAATGTCTGCTCCTATGTTTATAATGCCATAAAACCATTTGTGCATGACAGTGTAGAAATAAAGGTTTCATATTACACGAGTTGAAAACGTTTGATGGGTGGCGCATCGGTACAGCGGATAGTGCACTGCCATGTTAACCTGCCCCTCCGAGTTCGATTCCCGGCGATGGCTAACATCAGTGGAGAGCGATAATTTGATCTGTTTTGACCACTGTGGTGAAGTATGGCTGAACAACCCCTGTGACTGACAAGGACTCGGGAGACTTTTATCTAGCAGTGGAGTTATAAAGGGTTGCAAATTATTAATGTTGGATATGTATACCTCTGATTTCGCACCTCCGATTAGCACGGTTGGCAATGTACGGTGCGAAAGAAGTTCAACATAAGTACCGAACTGCATACATTGATCTGCTGTTAAACCGCAAAACGAGCAAATACAAAAGCAATATAAGCTCCCCGTTTCACATTCTATACAAAAATATAATAATTTGACATGGCCAAAGAATAATGTATGTAGGGAAGAAATAATATCACCAGTTCTTATTAACATTCCCGATTGGGGTAGAGTGGTCATCACCCTGGACTGTGAATCCAGTGACCTGAGTTTGATTTCCACATTATTTTTTACAAGGTAAGGCACACTGAGCCATGTAGCTATTTTTCATAAGCGACCTGATCACAAATTATATCTCAACAAAGTGACTTATCACGTGGAATTTTCTAGCAATCAAATACTCTAAACGCACGTTTCTTAATGTGGAGGGTAATATCGGAGGACCTGTGAAAAAAATCCACACGACCATGGGGAGAACAGGACACTCCAAACATACGGGCGTAGTCTGGGTCTGGATCGAACCCACGTCCTCCTTTACACCAGGCGAAGTAGGTAACATCTAGGCACCGCCCGATGTTAGCCACAGCTAACATCAGTGGTGAGTGACCTGTCAACCTGTCCTGGGCACCCCCGCAACCTCTTCACCAACCCACACTAAACAGCGTGGTGAAGCATAGACAAACAATTCCCACGACTGACGCGGGCTTCCATCCAGCAGTGTATTGACGAAGGGGCTGTAAACAAATCATAATTACTGTTACGTATTTTTTCATGCAGCCAAAGTCGTCGATCACAGGCGAGGAAGGGTGCCATCAATGTGTGTTGTTGCTAAGGAAATACAGATAATGGCCCCAACGGTAGCACGTTCGCCGCTTGTTGTAAAGGTTCGCGGTTCGAGTCCAGTGGCCGCCCTGGTAAATACTGCGGGTGTATTAACCGTCAAATACTACACTCCGTCTGCTTTACACAGTGGAAGTGAAATATCTCGTGACGTCATTTGCAAGAGTAGGCCAATGTGTGTACCTGGCCTCATGGTCCAAATTTGCCAAAAACAAATAAACGAATTACAATAAAAAAGATACTCAAATGGGATTACGCATGGCGACCATTGCCCTCGACCGCAAATAAAAGCTTGGCAGGATCCTCCTGAGAAAGAGTCAAATGAGTCAGTGAGACTTTTGCCGTTAATCAAGCGTCATAATAATATGGATGCTGAATGTAGCGCTTTCCAATGCTGGCATTTAAAAATCAGCTGATGGTTTTTCGAACAGACGTTTTTTTTGTAATGCTAACAATGTAACCGTACATGCACTAAAAAAAAACAAGAAATATCAAACGGAAACATTGCTCTCCGCAACTTATGATCAGTCTCAGGCCACTGCAGAAAATAAATATACATGATTAAACGAGCAATAGATAGGACAAGAAGTTGCTAACATGAACTTGTTAATGTAGGGCCCTGAACTGCGACAGTGGCACATAAACATACAAACGCAAATGTGAACATAACCGCGCGTCGTTTCGGAAAGCAACAGAGAAGATGATTATAATATTGTGACACTTACCAGGTGTAAAAGCCAGCACGTGCTGTCGGTGGAATGTTTATCCGTAAATTCCCCCAAACGTAGATGCGACCACAGTTATTAAAATTATGCAACAGATTATGATGATAATCTTCTTCTGCATCGTTCAAACCACCAAGGGGGTGGGGGGGGGAACAACATCAACAAATAACAAAATGTCCACAAGAGTACAATGGCAGATATTTAATCCAAGACACTCAACTAAAAGTTAAAGGTGCGGGCCTGTGATTTATTGTTCATGCCACTGCTGGAAGAGCGCCTCCGCTAGTTGGAGCTATCCCCTCCTGGAGGGTATCTTTGGCCTACTCTTTTACGCTGCCTAAAAAAATGTGTTGAGGTCGGTGGGAGTACCCACACGTTACCCCGACAACACGAGACCTGCCGATCGCCCAGTGTGGAGGGGAGTCCCCATTTACACTGCTGGGTAGACAGAGGTGGACTTAAAAAAAAACTTGCACCACCGTTGCAATGGCATAGATCGAACCGGTGACTCCGGGATTGGAAGTCCTGTTGTGCTAACCATCGCACAACGGCATCATCTCGAGCAGAAAACAACCGTAACTAAAATGTACATAAATCAGAATGTTTAGAGAGGCAACTACACAGCATGGTGCTCTGCGGTGATGACGCAGCACCAGAGAGGCACGCTGCCACAACAAGATTTGCTGTAATGACTCTCTTTTCCCAAGTTCTCAACGTATCATTCAAATGACGATAACAGCTATGTAACCTGGGATAGGATTATGGTTCCCCTTGAATTTGAAAGATAATTTATTCCGTCTTGCATTTTCTTCACTTAATAAAAAACGCAACTGTCGGATCGCCGTCTCGTAAGTATTGTGAGCGTGCAGCTTGTCAAAGGGAGAATAAGATTAAAGGGTGACTGTATATATATTTATCATTCTATAAATGTCTTATCCGAACAAGACCACGCAAGCATGTTTAGCAATCTCAGACGGCTGAAAGATGTTGCTTAGTCTCCACTGGTGTTGGACCAGATGACGCCAAAGCCGTCTCGGGTGTGGACCAATCAAATTCAAGGACAGTGCATATTATTATCAGAGTTGTCTCTTTTGTTTGCATTCTGACTGCTTGTGTTGTGGTTACTGCAAACATGATGCCTTGAATAAAGGTGTCAGTTTTTGTGCCAGTTAAAAGGGTAAAACCTATTACTATACTGGTTCGTATCATTTTATAATAGTGGTGGCACAATGAATTTTCGCTATAAACCCGGTGGCCTGAGTTCAATCCCTGACCACGGTAAACATTGGGGAAGTGCGGCAAACCAATTCCCACGGTCGCCACTGTTTGAGGAGGCCTTCGACCAGCAGTGGATTGACAGAGGGTTGAAAACTATTTGTTACAATGTTATAATACCACAAAATATGGTTTCATGAAAATAACAGTCAAGGCCAAAAAAAATCATACTTTTTGGGGGAAAACAAGAGATGGAGGTTTCCCATTGTAAGAAAGAGGTGTTGACCTCGAGATAATGGCGCATGTCTTGTAAGCTGAAGGCCCCGCATGCACAGTCCATTAAATACATTTTCAAGGGAGCCCGCTTCGAAAAAAAAAGAATACGAATTAAACAAAATAACAGATGTGATTTGTGTGGTAGTTTGCTGAAGCGAACCACAGTACGGTGGCGTTTAAAGCCAATTGCTGTAATGCGCATGGGGGGCGGGGGGTGTGTGAGGATTATTCACCTAATGTGCACCTTACGGCGGCTGCGTATACGTACCCTGCGGGCCTTACTCTGGTATTTGACAGCTTTCTTCGTTTCGGAGACAGCTCGCTCGACATAATCCACGGAGTGCTCCACGTTGTACTCAATGCGGTCAATCATTTCTCCCTGCGCGTGTATCCATGGGTGCCGGTGTATGACCAGGGGGGGGGAGGGCGGCACGTGGTGGTATTTAATCGTAAACCAATTCCAACGCTCTCGACGAACGATGAGAAACTCACCACACAGAACAGTGTGCGCTGGCTGTGAACAAATAGTAGTTGTAGGTTATTTTATTAATCGCAGTAGGTGAGCAAAGTGTCTGAAGGTGGAAATTGCAAGCAGCCAGCAACAAACAGCAACATTAAAGTTTGACGAGATAACAGTTAGCACTGTCAAGTTCAAGTCAATTGAATTTTTGTTTTCACAAATGGAGCCTTGCTGGCACAAATCTGCCACTCAAAAGTGCCATCGCGTGAATACTCAACGCTAAATGAGAACATTCTAAACAATAACAAATGAATGTGTACGTATCATCTATAGTTAATAAGTTGGGTTTTTTTTACGGCCTTCTTGCATTCCAAGCGTGCTTTTCAATCTTTCAGCACACATTTCTCGCGGGGCATCTCCATGGAGTTGAATGAGTGAATCTCACAGCGTTATTTATTTACTGTTTGCCTTGCAGTCAAGTCTGCTGACTCATCAAAAGATCAAATTGCCCATGCAGCATGTAAACACTTGTTGTTCCGTGCGTTAGTGCGAAGTACTGTACTATCCTGTTTTGGGGGCCGTCCATAAATGACGTCACGCGATTTTGGACAATTTTTGACCCCCCCCCCCTCGTCACACGGTGTCACAAAATGTCAGACCCCCCCTCAAATATGACGTCACAAAGCTCTGACCATATTGAAAATACAACATGCTTCAAATCGCTTTAAACTATTGTGTCATTGTAGTGCGTATTTAATGTGGCGCTGCACTCTGATGTTGTAGGAGTGTTGTTGTAACGATTAGTGTTGTTCTAACAATTCTATATTTATTTACAGTTGCGCATTTTGATGTGACGTCACATTTCTCAAACACCCCCCCCCTCGTCACACATCGTCACAAATGTCTGACCCCTCCCCCCTCCCCCCCCTACGTGCGTGATGTCATTTATGGACGGCCCCTTAGCTACGACCTCGGCATTTTCAAACCGGATGTTGTGTGCCTGGCTCACCCGGCGGCGTTTTGCAATGGCTGATCATACGATAGAGCCTGTCCATTTCGCATGCTAGGCTGGTGGTGTTCCTTCAGGTGGTAATGCCGGTAATCAGGACGCTATCCGTTGAATAGGGAGACACCACGGGGACGCTTCGAGGGCTCCGAAGCAAGGGCTGCAACTGCCAAACGCAAGCAGCGCGCCGCGCTCGGAGGAGAGACGCGTGAACCTGGCCGGAGAGCCCGCTCAGGCGTGCACACACCTTCCACGCGAAGCCAAGAATGGACGGGCTGCGAAAGCGAAGTTGCTGTCAAAGAAGAAGAATCGCTGTCCGCTTCGATAGAGCCCCCCACCCCCCACCCACGGCCAGCAGATTTTGTATCTACGAATGGCCAGCTGCACTCGCTACGGACGGAAGGTGTGCGTGGACTGACACCGAATGAGTTACGTGGGGGCACAATTGCCCCAAATTTCCGTTCAATTAAACTGATGGGTCCGTGTAAGCCTCGAGAGCTATTGTTGTACGTGCAATGCACAGTTTTTGCGTGGCATTATATCTTATGCGATTAGCACGGTGTGGCGTGAGAGAAGCTCAACATACATACAGACTCGAAAATCAGCAGTTGCAGAGCACGTCTGCTCAGGCTTGGCACGCGACATTCAGGCTGAGCTCCGAGCTAGAAGAGAACGCTTCTGCCCAGGGCTGATATGGGCGGCTATTGAAGATGCAAACACCCCCCCGCCCCCGCCACCCAAGTCTGGTATATAGATTTTTTTTGAAAATCTAGATTGAAAATTCATTTCTTTAGAACCGCTTTTTGTGTTTAGTTTGTGGTCTTTCCCCCGCACCTCCGATTCGCGCTGTTGCCCACGCACGGTGCGAAGGAAGTTCAAAGTTCATACGTGCAGACATTTTTTTTGTGTGTGTATGGGGAAGGATGGTCTGAATGTCATCCTAACCTGGAAACCGCTTTATTATAGATATCCTGGATAAAGAATGCAGGGCACGAGACATTCATCAGGGAGGTTTTTCTTTTCATTGCCGCCGTGTTGGCATCCCACCTGACTCTCCACCAGCATGGCCATGTCCAAAAACATGTCGTGCAGCTCGCGGACGCTGCTTTCCAGCTTCATGATGTCAGAGTGGCGTGACTCGATCTCGCTCAGGGCCTGCTTGCTGATCTGCGAGTCGACGATGATCTGCGCAACAGGGTTCGTCAAGGGCCGTGAGCGTCGTCATTCATCGCGATTGTCACCGGCACGAGTCGTTATCGTCGTCTTCATTTAAAAAAAAAATATTCACGTGTTTTTTTTTTGGGGGGGGGGGGGCGGGGGCGGGGGGGGGGAGTTCCGAGGAGGTCTTGGCAAGATAGCAGCAGCACGTCGGTTCACAGCAAACAGCCAATTGATGATACACAACGGATCGAAAGACTACAATTGTTGACTAGAACGTAATATAAATGGCATGGAAGGTAATATTGAATGAAAGTGATAACACGTTGTAAAACTGTGTGTCCAATCACGTGCCACGATGTAAGTACACAATTTGTGGCACACGTGGGTACATTATGAATCTCGTAATTATCACCTACTAAAGTACTACTAAAGTCACCCAGCAATGTCTGTCCGTCCCTCGCGTGACGTCACTGCACGTGAGGCCCACCCACCTCATTAATACTCATGAGTGGGGTGGATTTTTACACTAACGCAGAGGAAGGTCGAGCTGAATTAAATCATTTATGACGCAAAGTCGCTTCAAAAATGACGTTTCTTTCCAGAAAGTGACGGTAAAAATGTTATCTACGCAGCACAGTGCTACATCCGTGCGTGACGTCACTGCAAAACAGGCCTCCCCCTTCATTAATATTCATGCCCGCGTGGAAATGTTCACTAACGCACTCCACAATTCCGCACCCCTCCCCTCATTAATAATCATGAGCGGGTGACGTCACTCCACATGCCGCACCCCTCCACAATAATCATGAGCGGGTGACGTCACTCCACATGCCGCACCCTTCCCCAATAACCATTAGCGGGTGATGTCACTCCACATGGGGCAACCCCCCCCCCTCATTAATAATCATGAGATGAACATTTTTTCCATTCAATATTTCAGATTTACTGCAATATACACTCATTAGTATGCACTACTAGCAAAAATATACACTACGAGCCAAAAAGCTAGTAGTAATTATTTACCATCGTTTAAAAGACGTGATCTGATACAAGTGGGCTCATACTCGGATCTAACTGGTTCCAATCAGGTAGTGCTCAGTGAGAGAAATCTCTATGATCCCAGACAGATCTGAAAAAGGGAGCCTTGCACATGTGCATTCTGCCTCTAAAGCGATATATCTGACTGGAGAGCAGGGAAGACATTATGTTAACCAGGTGAGAGCAGAGATATGGAGGTACATTTTCCAGGTACACTTGTACGGATAAAAAAAATATAGCAAGTGGATTTTTGCAATAACTTTCCACATTCATCTAAGAAAGTCTTTCCCACACGCTGCGATGACACTCTCGAAATTGGAAATCAAGCACAAAGCCAAAGGCAAACATGATTGAACAAAAATATTGTAACATGAAATAACAATTACTTTCAGTAAGAATACTCATTAAAAGTATTATTCTGGGAAAAGAAGCACATGTAATATTTTCTTAGCGTTATAAGACGGACTTTTTCACCGTCTATTTAAAAGCAAAAGTTGGGGGTGAGCCTTATTAACCGCGGATGTGCGTGTGTGCGATCAGATTTGTATAATATTATTAAAAATAAGCACAAGTTTGGGGTGTGTCTTACTTTCCGAAGCATCTTATATATTGGAGAATTATGTAAACGATTATTTATTTGTTTAAATCGAGGTGTAACAGCCTTGTTACAAAATCGGTTCAATAATTTTCGTGCAACAGAAAGCATGCGGTACAACATTTTGCTTCAAAAGGTTTTTATCGATCTTTTTGTTGGATAACGTCAACACAAACTCTTCCTACCATGCCCAGCGTTGTTTTCGCGTTATTAATACAATTGTCCCACGTCTCCGTATCCCCGCTGAAATGATGACATATAGCTCTCAATTGCCGCCAATGTGAATTCTACCAGTGAATGGCAACGTATTAAATTTAAATGGATTCTGTCATTTAATTAGCGCACTTGATGTGATTATATCGTGCACTTTGTAAGCATATATTGTGTCACACAGCTCACCATACATTAATTATGCAACACCACTTCAACCTAAGTGGTCTCAGATGGACAAATGTGATGCAGAATGATTTCAAATTAAAAAAACTCAGTGCAATTATTAGTAATACTGCCTTATTAACTAACATTGTCACCAATTCAAGATCTCATGAGTACAGAGAGGGCAGAGAGAATAACCGACAATAGTTTGAGATGATCCTCTATACTGAGCTGCCCTTCAAACTTTTAACAAAGATAACAAATGATCAGTTTTGAATTGACGTGTGACAGTTTTTTTCTTCCTATTAGCACATACCGAGTAGCATATATAAATATTACGTTTAGATGACCTCAATGTCAATCAATTACGTTGGTTTGTCCAATTAAGTATGAGTTACCCTTGCAAAACTGTCTATTGAAACAATAAAACAAGGCCACACATTTTAACGAAAGTGAAGGATTATACACTCGTCGGCCAAAATAATTTTTAGAAGGGCTCTCTATATCGCAGCCTCTAGTGGGAGGCACGTCCAGCAGAATCATCAAAATATGTATTTAATCTGGAGGAATCCGATGAGCTGTGAAGCTCTTTTTCACAGATGTCCAATAGGGGCACGGGGTCAGAAATTCCCAACAACGAACAATGCAGAGACACGATAGGAGTGCAAAGTATGTGAAAGATATGCAAATCACAAAAAAATTAACTAAGCTATCCTTATTCTACTTGGTAAAGCCCACTGATCCATTGGCTTCTCTTTCAGAAGCGACCTGGCCACACATGATAGCTCAACGAAGTGGCTTATCATGTGGAAATTTATCGCAGCCAAATAATCTAAATAATTTAAACGCATGCTTCTACATGTGGAGGGAAAAACCGGAGGACCCGGAGAAAAAGATCCATGCGACTTTGGGGAGAACACCCAAATTCCAAATATACATCCATAAAACAGTTTTTTTGGGTTAGATCGTGTAAATATATAAATGTGTCATTAAACCCGCCACCACCTGATACAGCCAATTAGTAAAGGTTTTGTCAGGTAAAGAGAACGTGCCAATTCATTACTAGTACAGCACACCGGTGTGTTGAAGAGCAAAGCCACAACATTTACAATCTGAGTAGGACGTTTCACCAATAATTACAACTAGCTTCATCAGGCGGCAGCCAGATTTATATATTTACGCGATCAAACCCCAAAAAACCCTGTATTATGGATGATATTGATCACGAAAGCCTACTGCGTATTAATCCAAATATACAGGCGTCAGTAGCGGCATGAGCAAGCAATTGCAGGGCTGCAACTTAGTGTATTTTATGAGTTTTATTTTACATCATGGAATCTCAAGGCGCTGGCTTTAAACAATTAAGGAGGTTACCGCAAAATGCAAATGTTTGGCCCCTCTGTGTCCTCACCCCAGAAGAAAATATCGTTGGGTTTCCGCTCTCAAGCATATCCTCCAGCTCCTCGTTCGTCGTTAATTTCCCAGCTGTGCAGAGAAAGAGAGCCAGAGACAGAAGAATTATAACATGTTAATCATTGTAATTCCACATTAATTACCCTCGATCATAATCCCATTCACACATTTACATGGGTCTCATCGTCCATTGGTGTATGAAGCATGTGTGTAGCTGGGCGCGCGTGTGCGTGTGTGTGCACGGCATGCATGTTCACATACTGATCTCCAGCTGTCTCTGTATGCGCTGCTTGCAGCGCTCACGGTAGTCGGACTGCGTGGCATTATATTCGGACATCACTTCTACAAACTTGCGAGACAATGTCGAATGCTGGCGGAAGTATGGGGGGGGGGGGGGGGATAAAAACAGAAATATTTCAGCAAAAAAAGAAACTTAAAAAAAAAACAGATTACAGTAGCGTATTGCGAAAGCCGAGTTATTGCAAAAGTGTTTAACATCGTAATGTGATCCAACTGTCCCCTATTAATATAAAATGTTGGGCCAGATTAAAGTTTTGACATCGTGGCTGTAACATTTCATATTTTCCGTTATGTGAAATTGGCCAGTTTTCATTTGTTGTTGCGTTAACATCAACGTCACGTGATGGCATAGTCATGAGCGCACTGTGCTATGAACTCGGGGGAAAAAAAAAACAACTGAGTTTCATTCCTGGCCACGGTCTACATCAGTGGTGAATTCAAATCTGAACTAGTCCTGAACCCCCGACGCACCCCCCCCCCCCCCTTCTCCCATGCTTCACGAATCCATGCTGGCCAGGTTGGTGAAGTATGGTCAGCAAACGACCCCTCCGCCCCCGTGAGTGACACGGGATTGCGAGGACTCATCCGGCAGTTGACCGACGAAAGGTTGACATTAATGAAAATTGTTCATTTTAATCGTGATAATCAACGCATGCAAACATACATTCACATTCAAGGTCTGGCAGCCGACATATAGTTTGCTTGTTTCTTTGAATAACAACAACAACATTGCATTCACATTTATTGTGCATTATACATACGGCACAAGCGTATCTCTTGCAACATCTCAGTGAATTAAACACTGATAAATGGGCAGCCGCCTCATGCTTAATTAATTTTTAGACGCCAATTCGTGCGTGTGTTTTTTTTTTGTTGTCAACCGAAAAGCGTTGCCTTTAGCTGATGGAGGCGACCACTGCGGCGATCTCACATTATACTCGGGCAGACAAAAAAATAATAATGATGACTGCGACTTATCACCATAGCGACAGGTGTGTCATCACCCAGGCCCGGTCCAAAATTAACTCGGTTGCAGCGGAGAACAAACAGCCCATGGTAGAACGTCGACAATGCCCTTGTCAAGCAGAGCACCTGTGTTTTGCGTATCCTCATGTCAGCTGATGACCTGTTGGCTAATTCCTCCTGTTCGATGCTCGTCTCGATTGCTAGGATCAAAGAGTGAGGGTAGTGGAAGGCAAGGGGTTTTTAAGGGACGGAGAGGAGAGAGGTAGTCGTGAGCGAGATGGAAATATTACTTACTGGTTAGATTTATTCGAGAAGATCGAATGAGTTTGAGTGCATATCAGGGCGGCGTGTTAGTCAATTTAAACGAATCGTTGTATAATGCATGGCCATATTGCATATTCCAAATCTAATACGAAATGTACTTTTCAAAAATGTGTGTTTTATCAATGCGTACACAACGGAAGTTATTATCGCACAATTAATAAACGCTGCTACGTTATACAAAGCATTTAAAAAAATATATAAATGTGTCTCGTAGAAATCAAGTTGTTGACTTGATTTCCATGAAAGTTATACACTATGTAGCTTGAAACATATCAAAAGATGTTTGCCAAATTGAAATGTAGTGCGACCTGCTGCAACATTTATGTGTCATATGTTAGGTACTTTAATATCACGTAAGAACATCGTAACGGCACTTTCAATGTACAATTACTCTTGTAAACTAGAGCATATCTCAGAAAACACTTGAACACTTGAACATACTCCAAATACTGGGATATTGCTATCCAGGGTAAAATTGAAAAATAAAAATTCTCAAAAGAGAAAATGTAGCGAAGGTTCTGTTCTGCACTTGACTTCTGCTAAAATTCATGCTCCGAGACCTACAAATATCCGTCTGACTGTTATCGTCACTCACGTTTCTCTCTGTAATGTACGAGGCATCAGTGTGGAGGCCCTTCCACCAGCAGTGCTGTGAGCAAGCAATTGCAAGGCTGCACCGTTACTTTTACTTATTTAGAGGCGCGTTATGAATATATATAAAAATATGCACGATACAAAAATGTACAAAACCTTTGATGCAATCACCATACCTTTCAGCTTTGAGCGAACTTTATTGGCCGTTACTTTAATGTTAGCCAAGAGCTTTTCCAGTTCTTCTTTGGTCTCTGCAGAGGAGAAACTACAATGCGTCAATGCAATGAACGTTTGCAGCGAACCCCGCACTGAACAATTTGCAACAGGAGTTTACGTTGGGTCACCGCGCGCACTCGGAGGCAATAATGCCGGTTCTGTGATTCTCGCCGAATAAGTCATTTATTAAATGCATATTCGGTTATCATTTTGGTGCACTACCTCGTTTTCTTTTAGCAATGTCAAGTCATTTGCCCTCCACTGTGTGTTCAGTAGTTAGTAAAAGGCTGTAGGGGCCAGTGAAAACATTCACTCAGTATTTTAGTCCATAGGCTCACCCCCCCCCCCCATCCATGAGCAATGGCACGAGTCATTAATCGGTGCCCGACTCTGGAGCTTTGCAAAGTCGCAAAATCTTCCAAATGCTTTTGCTTCGTCAACATATCGAGGAGATGTGCAAGAAAATAATGCTGAAGAACAACGGCTGCAAAGGTCCGCCACGATCGTACGCGTTGTGCCAAGTTGGCCTCGTTCTTCGCAGCGTGATTCCACCACGCTATACAAAATAAATAAAGGGTATCCTTCAAATTGGCTCGCGTAATTCGCACGAGAGCAATTTTAATCGCCGTTCACATTGTGCGCGCTCGTGCGAAAGTACTCGGATCCACCCACTGTCGTCGGAGTTTGGTGCCGCCAGGATGGAGCTGTGTCTTTTTTTGACTTCTTCCACATTTTGTGCAATTTTCCCAACGTAGTCTCGAATCTCTTCCACCTAAAAAAAAAACAGCGACGAAAAAACACCATCAGACGGTGTCGTCCTTCGCCCGCACCTCCGATTAGCTCGGTTGGCTACGTACGGCGCGAACGAAGTTCAATATACAGCACATTACGCGCCACACACAACGCACGCGAGCAAGGTGCTCCGTTGTTTTCGAGACGCTGTAAGCCGTGGCATGGACTCGCACGTTGCACAAGTGGACAACGTACGCAGGGTAATGCCACCATTCCCACCTGTTACAACAACAGCAGCAGCAACAACAACAACAACAACAAAAACACCACGTTGGCTTGGGAAGCGCACGCCGCTAAGGGTTGATGGAAGAGGCGGTCAAGCACAATGCCCGTGAGTGGAAACCATTGTAACGGAACGCGCCTCCAGAGGAGATGTCCACCTATGATAAGGCAGCGATGAAATGAGCTCGTGGGCAGGTGCAAGGCATTTTTTTGGAGAGACCTTCATTCAGCAGTGGGTTAACCGTAGCTGATTGATAACGGGCATTGGCACCCCGATTGCAAAAAAGTCACAATATTTGCTGCTTTTCACTCAAGTTGTTGCTGGAGCGATGCATGTTGGTAGGTGTTGCACTCACACGAGCACCAAAAACAACAATCGAAACGCCTGGTAATATTGTCCCAGAATGTTAGCATTGCGCGGAGATTAAATGTGTGTCAACAAAATTACCTGACTGAAGAACTCATCCATGAACTGATCTCGGATCAAATTGACTGTGACATCGTCGTCGTCTTCGTCATCGCTGTCCTTTCCCTAATGGCATTAGGTGAACAGGACACTCTCGTTAACAGCTTATTATATTAGACACAACCACGCAGTGTGTGCATGCATGCATCCACTCACGGACGGTCTTCGAAAACAAGATCCGTTTCACGTCCGTGCCTTTGTGTGATACATCTCTGCGTCCTTCAACATGGATATTATGATGCCCACATGCAATGCCTTATTGTATGATTATAATATTTTCGTGCGTAATCCCCCTCCCTCCCTCCAGCTTCAATCAAAGTTGTTTGCAGAATGGCTGTGTTTGGCTCGCTGCAAATCTCCCCTGGGTGCAATAACAACCGACGGAACTGCTTCCGTGTGCAATAAGTACAGAAAAAAAAAGATTTCTGGTATCAATTCTATTGCACGGGGCCATTTATCCCGATGAGTGTGAAGCGATCGACTGGCGTCTCCCACCGTGACATATTTTATTGAATGCGTTTCAATCTCCATTTCGGGGCAAACCACACGCGCTGCTGCTGTTGTTGTTGTTGCTGTTTCTGCCGCCCGTTGAATGGAGCGCTCGCAAATGCCACTTGTGCCACCGTTACACATTACACTGGTGAATGGTTCAGGCTAATATACGTGGTGGTGGACGCTGGGGTGTATTGTACACCAATAAAACGCTACCTGCGCCGATTCAAAACTTGAAGTACAATGTTTTTTGGTTTACATATAGGAACGCGTTTATATAACGTGTCAACGCTTCTCCAAGCGTCCTGTGAATCACGACAAGGGCCAGACAACAAAGGCCCCTCGGGCCTGATTCATGGGAGGGCGCTGGCAGAGTGAGTTTTCCATTAACGCTTGATATTGCGACGTTGTTTACAACATCGCTTGGTTTACCTGGGAAACGGAGAGAGCGACTGTGCACTATATTAAACGGATTCGGTTGCACTCTCGCTGTCGCTGGACATCGTCGGATGCTTCCGCCAACACGCAAATCACACGTCGGGTAACACATTGCACGAGCGTAGTCATCCGATGGCTCAACGTAAAAAAAAAAAGTTACAATACGCAACGTAAACTTACACATCGAATAAAGGCTGTAGTTTAACACGTACGTGACGAGTACACCCGTGCAAGATCACGTCGACCACGATAACCATAATGCTAATAATACTCGTGGCATCATCCTTAGTTAAATGGGTTTGTAGCGGTGGAGCCACGGGGTTCAACATTGTATCCGTGAGCGCTGTCCATGGTACCTCCGATGGCGCTCCGTGGCGCAGCCGCTGCTTCGGCCTCTCGGCACACGGCGAAAAACAACGGAGGAGGACTGCGCCCCTTTTGTGCCACTCACCGCACGTAACTCCTGCATCCTATCCTTCATCGCAGCGAGCAGCGAGGCGAGGAAGTTTACCAACGAGTTCAACTTTGCGCCGCACGGCCGCGACTTGCTCCTCTCCCTGTGTCGAACGAGGGCCACAGTCGTAGAGTCCATCCGATATCGCCGGCTGGTGGAGCTCTCTTTGGCAGCTCCTCGCTCGCTCTCTTTTTCACGAATCCGCTCGCTGGTTTGCCGGAGAGGTTTTTATTTATTTTTCACACTGTACTATATTGCAGCTACCCCACCTACCCCCCCCCCCACCTCCTCCCCCCCCCAACTGTGAGTCCAACAGTCAAGTTGTGTGTACATAGAACGTTGTTTCGATCTTTGAAAGCGCTCGACAATATTTGGCAGAGAGTTCATGGTATCTGGTTGGCGGTTGTTGTTGTTGTTGTTGCGGCATCATCGACGAGGGAAATTAAACGCATGCATATATGTTTTAATAAGGCAAGTGAATCTCGTAAGAGGGTTCCAAATGCAGTAGACTGATTTAAATTGCCAACGTAATTACGCCAGCCATATCCGTAATGAATAATCACTCCTCAATGCACACGTTACACGAGTCGCCTGTGTCCTTTCATGAAAAAAAAGGTTTTCTTACGCCCAGGTCTCGCCTGTAAGTAAAAAAAAAGATATATTCCCACAGGGATTCGCAATCCGTTTAAGGGATATGCGCCTAAAGATAGGATTACACGGAACTGCCGTTCTTACCCACGCTCCTTGAACGGCGTTGTTTTTTTTCCTTCTTCACATAATCATTTGAACCACGTCTGCGAGTTCATCCACAAAAGGCAATGGCACACGTGCATATAACACGCACACACAGATAGCGAACTGTGTCACAGTGTATTAACCTTATTCAAGTATCACAATATATCATTGTCCCTTCCGGCAAGGCAGAAAATTCAGTTTTTCAAGAGTCCAAACACAATCTCTACATGAGAGTTTCGTACGTGGTTCAAGTATACAACAGTGAAATACCATTTTTTTTATTTTTTTATTGTGGTCGAGTAAGCTCTTGCCATGGACGCACGCACAAGCGTTCAATGCTGCAGCTGTACAGTGCTTTTTATTGTAGTTGCACCTGTTGCACTCAATCAAGCGTGGGTAGACATGGCCACGGAGCCAAGGTAATGATAGGTTAAATAACACTTGGGACCTTTAAATGCACGTTACTTGCAAAAGCAACAAAAAAAACCGTATGACTATTCCCAGACGTTAGCATTAGAATATTGATGTGTAATAACCGTGATGCATAAAATAACTCCAACATTAATTCGAGGTGACCTTTCATTCCAAAAATCCACAAAGAGGCCTTAAAAATCCAATAAATGCATTTACAAAATAGAGTAATTTAATCTGAGTTGATGGATGATGGTTAGCGAGAGAGTAAGAGGTTGTGGCCACGAGACACCCAATTTTCGAGGCTGTGGAGGTAATAGATTGTTGGCTGTTGGGGCTCATCCTCTCGTATTTGGCGGTGTATTTCCTATTCGCCACTGCAATTTACACCCACACACAATGCTCAAGAAGAAATTGCCCAAGCATCCTCCTGCGTGGAGAAATAAAGGACGCTTTTTTTTCGAGGTTTTTTTTCGGAGATACGTTTCCCAAAAAGAGAGCGCATTTCGAATGCGGCAGAATACATTCGCTTATCGAGGGCTGCGTAAAAAACCTACGCACTTTCTTTTCGCTGCACGGTTCCATGTGAACCGAAGCAGGAGGATTTCTCCACAAACTCTGACTGCCCGCCAGATGATGCTAGTTGTAATTGCTGGCGAAACGTCTTAGTCGAATTGTAAATACTCTTTTTGTTCTTTCGGTTAAAGTCACGTAGGTAGAAAAATAATAGAGCACGACGTTTCGATCGCCACACAAGCAACCGTCTTCAGGTGAGAGAGATAGGCTATGATTTTTTCTAGCTACGTGACTTTACCGAAAGAACTAAAGAGTATGAATTCCTGCAGTCGCGAAAGCTTCAAATCAAGATCAAATTGTAAATGTTGTGGGTTTACTCTCCATCACACCGGTGTGCGGAACTAGTAAAGAATTGGCACGGGTGTAACGACACATTTATAGTCATGCGATCTAACCCACCCCCCCCACAAAAAAACCTCTATCATGGATACACAATGGTTAAAACAACTACAGTACGAGTAAACATTACATGTGCTAATTTGGATGATACACTATTATGTACGTATGTTGAACTTATTTACTTAGCTTGTATTATTTAAATCTTGACTGAAAGCTTTCGTGACTGCAGGAATTCATACTCTTTAGGTCTTTCGGTAGAGTCACGTAGATATAATTTTTTTTATTGTATTATTTACCGTGTTTGAACTATTTTATGTAAATGTTTGCCCTTTTTAAGCAGTTCCCTGTCTGAGCGTCTCCTCTCCGTGATTTCTCTCTGTGGCTAGCTCACTGTCTGTCGCCGTGTGCACGTTGAACTTCTTTCGCACCGTACGTAGCCACCCGTGCTAATCGGAGGTGCTGGAGTTGGGTGCAACAAATTGAGCACAAAAAAGCAGCGAATGAAGGAATGAGTTTGCAACCTCTGTGTGTGTGTGTGACGCAGTGTTCTCTGCGTTTATACTCTCTGGTTCTTTCGGTAAAGTCACGTAGATAGAAAACATAATAAAAGAAACACGACGTTTCGGTCGCAACACAAGCGTCCGTCATCAGGTGAGAAAATGATCTGCTGTTGTGGCTTTATATAGGCACGGGAGGGAGAAGGGGAGGGTTTGTAGAGTCGTGGCTGCAGGAGTTCACGGGGCCAGAGGGTTTGTGGCGTGCAGGGACGGGTGACTGTGTAACCTCTCTCCGTCTCTCTCTCTCTCCGTGTGTTTTGCTCAGGGCGCCCACTCAGTACCGAGGTGGAAACAGGCCCAGGGGTCGCACACAAAAGCAATCGAGTAATTTCACAGCCTTGACATTCAAAACCACCACCAACAACAACAATCATAACTACGATCAAAGACAAAAGATATCCTGTATATCCTGAGACTGTCGGAGCAAGTGCTGTTAGCGAGCACCTATGAAGGCCGGCACGGCACACAAGGGGATGGGTGGCCAGCACCACGCCCGGCCGCCTTTGTCTCCCCAGTGGCAATGAGGCTGAGCCCACTTAGGGGAGGCCCAGGACCGGTTCAGATAATCGTTACTGGTGTTGACCGCGATCGGGAATGGAACTCGGGCGGCTGGGTTTGAAGCTCAGTGCGCTACCGCTCCCCACACTCTGACCACCATTACCACAATAACCACATTTCCACATCTCAGTTATCACCACCCACCAACGCTGCCTTCCCAGTTTCACGGGATTGCGTGCAATCCACTTGAGCGATTGCCCAATCGCAGTGTCACGTGATATCCACCGAACAGGGTAGCCCAGATGTCTTGTGACTCCCAAATTAATTTACCCCGAACATGTTTCTCCTTCGCATACTAATTTATATTTTAAATAAACCTCACTGAACAAAACTATGTTTTAGATAATTATATGGGGCGGTCGGGGGAGGGGGGGGGGGTCACAAGACATCTGGACCACGCGTATAACTTGGCAAGCCTCCCTTGTATTCCTGCCCGACAAGGCTGGACTCGGCAGCCGAGCGGCCCAGTGACAGCCACCTATTAGCAGCACGCGTCTCACACCATTGCAGTAGAGTGTCACGAATATTAATTCCAGCTGGGCGTTCAATCACAACATCGCCGTCTCTACAAAGTCAATAGACTCGGTAACATTGTGGGAACAGTCTACAGTGGTTTCCACCACAATTTTTGTCTTCCTCCCAGAATGGCGTAGCCCTCCCTCCCTCATGCTCCACGATCGTCTCTGTGCTGCCGTAAGGCAAAACGCTGGTGGGCTTCTCCACGAATCTGGCTGTCGCCTGATGGTGCCGGTTGTAATTACTGGCGAAACGTCGTACTCAGATTGTAAATGTTGTGGTCTTGGCTCTCCAACAAACAACCAGTGTTGCTGTACTAGCGACGAATTGGCCACGTTCCGCTTACGTGACCAACCTTACTCATTGGCTGTGTCGGGTGGTGGATGGTTTAACGACACATTTATTTTATTTACGCGATGTAACCCAATACAAACCTGTATTATGGAAGATATCAGTCGCGAAAGCCTCCGTGTTAAACTGGCAAACACTGCTTTATAACCTTGTAACAGCACCATGGCATACTTTATCACGTTGTGCTTTTACCGTCTCATTCGTCTCCTTTGTGTCTTTGTAAAGGCACACAATAACCGTACCCATGTATAACCACTCCTGTGTGGAAATCACTGCTCTCTGCATGATCCCTGTGGGAACTTCAATACAACTCAAGCTGTCTATTATATTTGGCGATGGTTTGAAAAGCCACGCCTTTGACGCAATGTGGATGAAAAGGCTACGTTCACACGCACACACTGACGGTGGCATACGGTGTGCGTTCAGCCGCAGGGAGAACTGAAACCCGGTAATTACGTGTGCAATTAATCACCAATTAAAAAAATGCTCGCTTAACACTCACTCTCTTCAATTAAGCGAGTGCATTGCGTTTCCCCCTTTTTAAGTGAGAAAGTTATTCGCGCACAGACAACAGTTTTGCTCACACATCAGACAAAGGCAATACATTAATGTCACCGTTGTTTAACCACCTGGGCTCAAGGGGTGTTGGGAATGATTTTGAAGTGCAGTACGTAAGGAGGGTGGGCAAGTGGTCACGGGGGGCACCCAGGCAGAGCAGCCACCAGCGTTCATTTCGTTGAAACGAAATTGTTTAAAATATTGGGGAATGAAGTGGTTTTTTTTCCCCGTGAGTTTTATTTTCGGCAAATATGACAAATGATTGATTGAAAATCATCGAACGTGACTATGACTCGAAGACTGCCCACCGAAGACCAAAAGCACGAGTGACTATGATGAGATGATGAAATTAGTCGGAATGAAGAGGCAGACTAAGATAATTTAGTAACAATTCCAGAGACGGCAGTGTACTGCGGGAAGCATTGACAATGAGACTTGACTGGCTGACTTGATCACGATGGTGGAGGAGAGGGACATTGTGTGCCCTTCACAGAGAGGACTACATTTATGACTACTTTAGTCAACTGAACCAGCAGAATGACTAAATTAAAACGACAGACTATCAGACTTGATAAAAAAAATCCAAAGACATATGACGAACATAAAACTAAATGCTGACTAACACTTCATAGCCAGGGGCGGGGGGCTATGAA